ATCTCACTCTTAAGACTGTGAAGCACTGCCAAGTAAAAGATGGTCATAATCACTCACGTAACTTTGTACGCAAACACTTCAAATTAGAGGTTTATGACTTCAAACACCTGCACTATCAGCCCTTTCTGATATCCGTCATCAAGAAAAATCAGCATCTTATTAACGAAAAACCCTGGTCATGCAAGTTCCCCTCCAAAATAATAGCTTTACTTAAACAATCGCATTAGCTACACTTATCACCACCCATAAAAACCACAAACTTTGACAGAAGATTACAGTTATTTCAAGATAATCACAACTACCATCATCCCACAGCTTAGAAACACTCAGCATGCAGGTTTATGGCTCTCTGTGAGCTTTAGCACTGTTGTAGGAAAAAATCTATATCTGGACATGTGTTTGTGTGTGTGTGTGTGTGTGTGTGTGTTTGCACGCGCTGTAACCTTTGGATGCAAATCACCGCTTATCTGAGCGCTAAAACTGTCCTCCATAAGTTCTCCATCAGCCGTGGGTCTTGAGATGAACCCCAGGAACTAACAGATAGCATGGTATTACAACCGAGACAAAGGTATTCTTTATCACCCATGTTTAGACATTATAATCTGACAAAGCAATTCAATTACACACTGTACTAAGGATAACTTCAAAATGTCACTGTGGTGAGGTAACCTTACACTGATTTTAGGTCAGGATTTGTCATTTCCAGTTACTGCCATTAAGACAGGATGGAACAAACCAAAAAAGACACAAATACATTTTTTTTTTAGCACTGCGGACTGTGAATATGAAAACTGCCAGATGGTAGTCAAGTATAATGGGACAGAAGGTCCTATGACATGGCGTGATGCCACCGGGAGTTTTACTGATATTCACTTTTTTTTACTGAATCTCTGGATCTGAAAGTTGAATTCACTACCTATTAGAGAACACCAGGCCACTAGCAAGCATCTTTATCTACAATGTAAAATGTTACTGTAAATTTACAGGTACATTTTAACAGTATTATAATGTCATAAAACAGTAACATGCTGTATCTTTTATATAGTGTCTATAAATATACAGTAGTATTCCGTTTTCAGCCCACTTCATTTGTAATTCAGTATCATATTGTAGAGACATTGCATTCTGAGATGTATTTTTTTTCTGCGCTTATTTCAAGTATAGGTTACTAGGTCTAGCAAATACATGTTTTAAGCACTGCGGACTGTGAATATGAAAACTGCCAGATGGTAGTCAAGTATAATGGGACAGAAGGTCCTATGACATGGCGTGATGCCACCGGGAGTTTGACTGATATTCACTTTTTTTTACTGAATCTCTGGATCTGAAAGTTGAATTCACTACCTATTAGAGAACACCAGGCCACTAGCAAGCATCTTTATCTACAATGTAAAATGTTACTGTAAATTTACAGGTACATTTTAACAGTATTATAATGTCATAAAACAGTAACATGCTGTATCTTTTATATAGTGTCTATAAATATACAGTAGTATTCCGTTTTCAGCCCACTTCATTTGTAATTCAGTATCATATTGTAGAGACATTGCATTCTGAGATGTATTTTTTTTCTGCGCTTATTTCAAGTATAGGTTACTAGGTCTAGCAAATACATGTTTTAGATCTACTCATAAGGGTTTGATGCAATGATTAAAAGATGTTTTAGTGAATTTGTATGTAGTTTTAAGCTTTTGTGAACATCAGTTCATCTGTGACACAGGATAAACGGACGTCATAAATTGCATTGGTGATTAAAGGGGCGATTGAGTCTTGCTCAAGCCTTACTGACATGTAAGCAAAAGACAGAAAATTATCGACATCGAAAAACATTTTGTATCTGCTGAAACTGCACAAACTGAACTCAAAACAAAAGCTTTTTTCTGAAAACATGTGGGTGAGGTCAAACACAGAAGCTTAAGTAGCAGAGACACTAACAGGTGTTTGTTTTTGTACAAACACCAGCGAGCTGCAAGCAAAGCAATTTCAGAATGTAACAGTTGATGGGTTGCAAAATTATCGTTATCGAATTATCACCCAGCCGATAATTCGATAACGATAATTATCGCAATATAATTTTCCTCGATAAAACGATATGAAGAGTTTGATAAATGTTCCATATAATGTTTATGCGCCAAAAGCGGAACAAAACAGCGCGACTCATTTGAAGCTCCACATGGACCGTTTATCCCCTCGGATCAAAGTTCAAACTGCCGCGCGGCAAGCTCACTAGAGCAGATGCGTTTACTCGGTCACGCGAGCACTGAACAGTGCTGTGAGATCCAGTGTGAAGCACTTGTATTCAGCGATGAACACAAATGACTCGGTGATTTAAACTAGTTTAAAGCCAAACAGGAGAAACACTGTGTGCAATGGGAGAGTCAGAAGGCTTTTCAATCTACAAATCGCCATCATTTACCATGGATTTACTGTAGTTACACTCACTGCACCATGGTATTGTGGCAGAAATTTGGGATATTCACACTGAATTTTAATACAGGAGTAATGGTAATTATAGTATATATTTGTGATTAAGCTATAGCATGTGTGCATTTATACTGAATGTTTTTAGACTACTATTTTTCATACAAATAGGCTACCTAAAAAACATTATATTTATGGTATTGAGGTTCTATATGTGTGGATTTAACAGTGTTTATCATGATTTAAATGTATGCTACTATGGGAGACCAATGCTTAATAAAAAAAATAAAAAAAAACCTTGGTCAGAATAAATTTAACCATATAAAACGGAGGTTGCTACAAATTTTACAGATGTTACTGATTTTAATAATGAACAAAAATTTACCTCTGCATCCTAACTCAAGCTACTATCAAATGTGCATTTCTAAGAGACAAAAAAGTGATATTATTATTAATATTATCAGGCAACCCAAATCTGTTTCTTGATTTGAAACAATATCACTCATTAGAACATGCAGAAACTAAGTAAATAATAATTTTTCTATTTAGATGTTTATTTTGTTAAAAATTAATTTGAAAATTAATGGTCTGGTTTCTACAACTTTCACTTTGGAGCAAAAATCTGGCTTTAAACTTGAAAGAAATAAAGATTTGATATTTATCGTGATAATTATCGATATCGACTGATATGAAAAAAATTATCGTGATAATTTTTTTGGCCATATCGCCCAGCCCTGCATGCATATATATATATATATATATACACATATATACTGTGTATATCACTATTTCTCCAAATATGCACACTTTTTAACTCTAAGCCCAAATGGACGCCGTTAAGTGCAGCTATGTGAACTCGAATAAACTGTAGCAGATGTGACTGAATATGAATGCGTGTTGTTATTCTACTCAAAATATCATACATTACCGATTGATTATTTTGCACTCCTGACATAAATGAAGAAATTACTGTCACTGCAGCTGAGCTTTATCATAAATCGTGGTCAAATGTCGATGCTGGAATCTTTAATCTTTCTAACGATTGTCCAGATCAAGTAAGAGTGTGATGTTTTAACGTGCTGTGAATGGGGAAACAACAATAATCTGAGGCCGCCAGCAATGTTTGCAGGTTAAGTTAACAGTTAACTCTCAATTCACGACGCTGTCTACGTTGCTTAGGCACTTGTACTGGTTTAAAAATTCATACCGGTTGCGTAATTCAAACTGGTTTACTGTTTGAACCGGTATATTGCCCAGCACTAGGCCTATGCAATATAGTGCATATATTTAGCAAAATGCTCCTCTTTATAGTTATTTTTTCTAGCTAACTATTGAGCTTATGGACGCCGAATGATTATTCAATAAATGTATTGTTATGTGACATTGTTACAAGCTTTACATATTTTCCGCAGTTTGAAACACTGAATGAGCGATTACATGAGACATTTCAGTAAGTTGAACTGTATTTTATAATATACCTTTTGATGTCCATTCACGTTTATTTCGTACTACAGTAGTAAATAGAACGATTTGATGGGTTCACGTGCCGCTTGAAATGAGGTGCTAAAGAGCGCCAAAACGGTATTTATTGTTTTAATTTCGTTATGAATTTGGCAGAATTTTAAAGCTGATACTTTGTTTATTAAAAGGTAACAAAGCACAAAGCTTATTGCGATTATTGGACGGCAAGTGCGCTACATAGAATAGCTCACGCATTAACAACACAGCATATAGACTAAAATTCCTGATAACAAGAAGCCATATAAGTATCGATTATAAACGAGAAGTGTTAATGATATTGTCTATGTCCACATAGCTGACAGATTTACCTGTTGTAGTTTGTTCAAGTTGTGCACGAAACAGACACTGCTTTTCTGCACTTGTACTTTGCACGTCTCCGTCATTTTCAATCTCTTTAATGCTGCCACAACTGGAGCTGCTTTTAGCTGGTGTTCGGCAGAAATGAGGAATGTTTTTCCACTGAACTTTGATGTGCATCATCTCAGTTTATTACGTCAACATAACAAAAGATGCGATCCCAAAACAAGCAGGAAAAAAAGCATTACATGCAAATTTTTAAATCATAACATGTAAATTTATATAGTCGCCAGTGGCGATCTTAGCAAAAATTTCACTCGTAAATTAAGATTTTTGGTCGCAAATGCGACCGTTTTAGGCACATTCTGGAGTCCTGCCGTGACACCTTAAATTTGCAAAACCTGAGTTGAAACATTGCCTTTCCTCTTTAAATGATTACCACCGATTTTGACTGATTACTGATTTAGAATTTTCAACGATGACAATAAACTACACTACTAAAAATAAAATAAACTACTGAAATAAGAAAACCCAATATCTATATCTAATATATATTTAAGATCTAATATGGTCAAACAAAGGGTTTTAACCCAACCTAAAAACCACAAATTTTCCACTTTAAACTTCTTGATTTATTTAAAAAGAACAGTAACCTGGAATTTACACTGTATTTTTATGTTTATGGGCTGATTTCCGGAGTCCAATTATGTGGGACACATAAAATGTATGTTTGCATGTATTGATGTATTTAACTCAGTTACCTTCGAGTGATGGGGCCTGATCCTGGGCGGAGTACAACATTTCTTTAAAAGCCTGTGGAGAAGAGAAGAACATGAAACAATTTCCAGAGGTCAGACAATTGGCTTTCATATTACACAGCAGCATGTGACTGGCACTGTGCCCGTTCTGACTGACAATGGAAGCCCTGCCAAGATACAGACGGAGTGAGACAGAAAGACATAAGTTCTTGAGTACAGAAGAGGAAGTACTAAAAGAAATATAGAGGAAATGGCTGTTTTTAACTTTGTCCAAATCTAGAATTGGATATCCCCTCTGTAAGAAACAGATCATGTCCTTGAATCTGAAAAAACAAGGACAAAGCATTGGTTACAATAGATACAAGCGTAGGAGACACCGCAGCATTTCCACAGGGATTCACCAATTGACTGGCCAATATTAATTTTAAACCTGTGACCTGAGGTTTACCAATAATGCAAACATTTTGGGCCATTTTTAAATTAACACACACGTGTACTCCAATTCTACTAAATGAGTTTAAAAACATCAATATAAATGTGTGTGTGAATTGTAATGTGCCCATTTTCAGGAGTAATCACTGCACAGTTAGAGGCTGAGAGGAAAAGAAACTGCATACTAGGGCTGCGCAATCATGACAAAACCATAATTGTTGATTATTTCCCTAGATATTGTAATCACTATTATTAACGTTGGTTAGCAGAATTCAAATTTACCACCAGATATTAGAAACACAATTTTAATTTAAAAAACATTAGCAAAAAAAATTTAGTATGGGGAAATGTCATGTCAAATTCTTCATGTATCTATAAATCCAACACACTTTCTGAATTCCTTTACTGCCGTTTTATGCATCAGTAAATCAAGACAGTGACGTTGCTATTGTCATCACTGTTAACTGTCACAATTCCAGGAGTGACTCACAGTGTTATATGGAACTATAATTTAGGGGATTCACAACTGCATTTAGACGCGGTTATCACTCAGAAAACTTTGCCGTGTGTATGTGGCTGCTGGGCTCTTACCAGCTTGAAAATACTATATTCAGAATAGATGACATTCAGAAAGTGACCAAAGTGAGCAAAGAATGAGCTCACAAAAACTCCTATTGTAATAAATGTAGCCTTCTACACTTCATGATGAATTTCTTATTTGAATTGTATCTTTGGTTTTTGTTATGCTGATCACTCATGTGGGAGTCATGATCTTTGACAGTGACAGCAAAACTACTCATAACAGTTTTCTACATATATATCTAAATATAAAATGTAAATTTTTGTACTATACAACTTTATAGTATAATGCCTTTTTTTTTTTTTTTTTTTTTTTACATATAGCTTATAAAAGTATCACGGGGCTCAGCTAAGTCATTGGTGTGAGCCTCAAATTTCCTGATTGGTGCACCACTAGTAATTATGATATGAGTCTAACCACAGCTTAGCACAAAGTGCATAATCACCAGAAAACGTATAAGGTTATTTTAAAACACATACTAACTTACTGCCTATGACAAAAAATAGCTTTTTTTGGCAGCATGCTTTTGCATTAATATTTTATTTAAAATGAAAAACTGCAATGATATTGTGGAAAGAGAGGTATTTTACTCGCTTGCATGCATCTCACTAGGTGATAGGTCATACATATCCAGTGGAAAAGCACTGAGGAGTGAGAGAGGCAGTTATTTTGCCTGTGAAACTCAAATCAATAACAACCCATCAATATTTTGCTTGCCCTCTATTAGTTATCATGCCTCATTGTTACATCACAAGATACTGACAGGAGAAACAGACCCATCTGAATAGGGCTATAGTCAAAGACAGTTCTCTGTATTATAACTGCATTGAGAATTTTTATGAAATGTTTGAATAAAAAGTAAATTGTGAATATTGTAAGATAAAATGTGAATAATTTTAAGAGTAGAACCATATTGAAATCCTGCACATTCTCACAGTATGTGAGAAATGTCAGTTTTCTCTCACTCCAAGATCACTCTGAAACGGCTCCAGATTAAAAGCATTTAATGCTAAATGTTATTAGCTAAACGTTAGTGTAAAATGTCATCACAAAGAAAAAAAAATCAAACCATAAATGCATCTCATTTAACATACTTTTTTCTTCTTCATTACTTTCACATGGAACAAATCTAAAGATGGACAATACATCTATTTGTCCTCTTCCAGATGTGTAGTCAATTAAAAATGTCAAAGAATGAGATCATGCCCATACATTAATGATATAAAAATAAAAATGTATACATATTTTTAAATGAATTAAATGCATCATCCGAGTACATTAAGTGCAATTTTTCTTTTTGAAATCTTCAGTATGAATACTACTTGTACTACAAAATTTAACAGAATAGTGCATAAGTATGCAAACTGTGATGCACTTTTTTCTTTCAAGACTACTGGCGTGTTTACACGTGGCAGGTTTGGTTCGATTAAAATGAACTCTGGTGTGATTGCTCTGTTAGTCCGGTTCATTTGAATAAGTGTGAACGCTGCCATCTGAACTTTAGTGCACACCAAAAAAGCCAACTGAAATTTCGATGTGATGCAGACCAAAGACCACAGGACATGATATCCCATTTAAAATCTAGGTCTTCAACCCTGCTCCCGGGGACCCGCTGTGCTGCAAAGTTTACCTACAGCCCTAATCACGCTCTTCAGCATTCAGCAACCTTTTTGGATGTTTGATAAGTTCCCAAAATATACGTCATAAAAGCAGTCCAAACAGGTTGTGGCTGTATCCTCTGCCTTTTGTTTTCTATTTTTAGGATCAGTGTTAAAAATGTGTGAACACTAAGAGAATCAGGACTAAATTTATGATTTTATGTTTGTATGTAAATGTATGACTTTTTCTTTTTGTCCGGACCAAAAGAACCAAACTACAAGTGTAAACACACCCTAAGTGAAGAAAAGAAAATGAAATATCCAGAGTGGAGCTGGAGCAAAACATTATTGCAAAAACAATGCTGTCCAAGTGATGTCAAATTCACATGCAAATGCAGTTCTGCCGTATACAGCACAGCGCAGATTCTGCAGAAGCCTGTAAGAAAACATGAGCTCAGGGGGAACGTTGGCCTTGACAGCGGGGATGTTTACTTGTTCTAGCAGCAGGCCTGCACAGTTCTACACTCAGGCCAGCATACACCACATTCCCATGACTAAGAAAAAGGTCTTAAACTCTGTGGCAGCCTTGCCTTTAGTCTTGACTTCAGCAGGCTTTCTGAGACAGTGAAACACTTTCTTCTCGTTCCAAACGTCAGGAATCATGTGATAGTCCACTCAGAACCAAAAATCAGCAGAAACGCTCATCTCTAAATAAGCTGACATCAGCAATGTCAAGAATGTGTGACACAAAAGAAAGGCCACAGAACACAACAAATCAACACATTCATAGAGCCCAGTCACTGCGGCCAAAAACAAGTGTGTGCTACTGCAGGTGAGAGAGCATTATACGGTCTAAGTATGACGTGACATGTGGCCAAGTATGGTGACCTATACTCGGAATTAGTGCTCTGCATTTAACCCATCCAAAGTGCACACACACACACGGAGCAGTGGGCAGCCATTTATGTTGCGGTGCCCACTGCTCGGATTCGGTTGCAATTGGGGGTTCGGTGCCTTGCTCAAGGGCACCTCAGTCATGGTATTGAAGGTGGGAGAGAGCGCTGTACATTCACTCCCCCCACCTACAATCCCTGCCGGTACGAGACTCGAACCCACAACCTTTGGGTTATCCCGCGAAAACACAATCCACTATACTACTCCCAAAAAGAGATGATTACTAATTAATTAGCAAATGTCCAAGAGGAAGGCAATAATCTCATTATGCGTAGGCCATTAAACCCTGACGGAGCTGCAGCACACTAAAGCCCTGTCAACTCTAACCCAGTACAGTGTCAAAGACAAAGAAAACTGCCTCGTATGAGCTCATGTGAAATAATGCAAGTCTGCTAAGCACTGCTTTTTGCAGCTCTGTATCACCATCATATATGTTTGTTTCTATGAAACGACTCCTGCAGGTAATTACAGACCTGAAAAACAAGACCGATAACGACTGCATGGCAATGTGGAAAAAGAAATAGCTTTATTACACTGACACATCACACCGCCACTCCTAAATGTTCTATGTGAGCAATAAGCAGAGATTAAAAAAAAGGAGTGTGCGCTCGATTTTGGTCATTGTTATAAGCTTGATGAACTTTTTCACACTGTAAATTCTCAAATATTAAGTTTTCCTACTCCTAATATATTATAAACCCTAATATTAAGGATACACCATTTGTATTTGTAGATCTGAATCGATAAACACAATTTAATATAGAAACTGGCTGTTTAGAGAGTTCTATTCTTTAAACTGCATCCTGAAATTGAGTGGAAAAACATACTGTCCTTTGAGTTTCATACATACACGCACATATATATATATATATATATAAAGCTGATGATGAGCAGCGCGAAATATCTGATTCCCCTGCATCCCTGATGATCATATAGACTCACATTAGCTTTAAAGCTACCAGCTGTTAGCTTTCAGTTACAGTCTAACCCTGAACAGATATGACAGTCATTAAATCACATAAATACAAATGTAAACCTGCCTTTAGCTCAAACATTAACGTTACATTATAATGACAGATGACTGATTTTCAGACAGGTTCCGTGAGCTGGAGGGAAACGGAGTGAGATAAAATACCTCAAGGCTGCTTTTCTTCGGCTCTTACCTCATATTGAATGTATTGTTTCCTCCACTCCGGGGTGATGTGGGCAGACAGGTGCTCGGTAAATTTCATTTTTACGAATATTTCGGTGTGTTTTTTTATTTTTTTTCGTCTGAGGAGAGTCACACGCTACTGGAAAATTACCAGTGAATCATCGCGAGCTGAAAATCACCCTCAGATTAACGGCTGCTCCGCGAGACACATATTATTCAGGGGAAATATTGCGATATTTTCACACAGCCGACGCCGGCGTTCCTCATTATCCCTTCAGGTGTTTTTTCAAGTGCTGCAGGCCGCTGGCAACAATGGTTTAGACGGACGAAGGAGCTCTAGACAGAGGGTTTCTCTGCCTGATATCTGAAGCTGAAGCTCCAGCCGCCGCCATCATTGTCGGAAAATGACGTCACAGAGCGTCACCACCACTGTTGCCGACTAATTTTCAGGGCCCCTCTAGTGTGAAATTGTTTATTTCATGTATAATGTTTATTGTTTATATCATGTATAGTGTTTGTCATATACATGTATTTTGATCTTGTTAATAAAAAAAAATAAAAAAAAATTTCAGGGGAAGTTGCTAAAGGAAGGTCGATTTGTTGCTAAATGACGTTGTGATGTCGATGCAAAAATTGTCACTACATCAAATCTCAGTAAAAAATATATTTGTATATGCTAATTTAGATTTGTTAGTAAAATAATATCAATGCATAATATAATGTTAAAATAATAACTAATAATGTTTTGACCCAGAGGTTGGGTTGCTTTGACCCAGAGGTTGGGTTGTTTTGACCCAGAGGTTGGGTTGCTTTGACCCAGAGGTTGGGTTGTTTTGACCCAGAGGTTGGGTTGCTTTGACCCAGAGGTTGGGTTGTTTATACCCAGCGGTTGGGTTATTTTGATGGCAAAACAACCCAACCGCTGGGTCAAAACAACCCAATAGCTGGGTTTGTTCCTTTTTAACCCAGCGCTGGGTTATATTTAACCCAGCATTTTTTAGAGTGTACACTCTAAGAAAATAAATCACAGGTTTTTACCGGCATTTTAAATTAATTACGCATTGAATTTTGTGTTTCGGGTTAAAGGGTTTACAATGGATAATGGACAACGGATAATGTCCTGGAAAATTACTAGAAGCCTACCTTTTCCATTTTTCTAGATATTTTTCTTAGTGTACTAACTGATCAACAATCACAGGTACAACAAGGTGTATCATAAATGAACAATTATTAAATGATTATTATTATTATCAAATTGAACAATTGCAAATAGCAATAATTAAATTCACGTGATGTGTGTACTGCTAGGCATCTTTGGTTTCCTCTTTTTGTGAAATTTAGATGGAAAATGTGTGCCTTTTATTGTTCGAGTCACTTATCAAAAGTTGCTAAAAGTAGCCAAATAAAATTTTAAAATAGCTAAATTTGTTGCTAGGTGCTTTTGTAAGAAAAAGTTGCTAGGGTAGTCTGAAAAGTTGCTAAATTTGGCAACAAAATTGCTAAATTGGCAACACTGGTCACCACAGAGGATGTTTTCCAGCTGGCGGTATGACCACTCATGCCTCTTAAATAATTACTGTGAATTATAGAAATATGAAATCAAGGGCAGGTTATTCTTAACCTAACCGGCCTAAACGTAAAACGTTTCTCGTCGCCCAAAAGTGCATTCGAATTCATGTCACTTGAACCAGCTTGTTTATGGTTGACAGTCACAGCGTATCTAGGCTGAGTGACTGGGTAATGTTTCTCAATAGAGTCCAAGGCTCAATCTACAAAGCGGTACTACTGCCGTACATTGCTGTGCTTTCAAATGCATATAAGTATTTAATTTTATTTATTTATGCATTCATTAATTTTTTTATGTTGGTTAAATGTGAGTTAAATATTGGTAAAAGGATCAAATGGCACGAGACTTACAACATATTCCAACATACTCCCAGATTCCTTTCACTGAGCACAAAGAATTATCAACAGATAGACAGCACAAATACATCATAAGGCAATAACGTTATTCTTTTTCCCAAATGAAGAATCATTTTACGCCAATAAGTCAGCAGATATGTATATTTAATAAACAATGACAACAACAGCAAAATTAACAGAAAGTAATTTTGTAATAGTAATATTAGTAATATTAATATAAAGTAATATGTTATATTTATATAGGTCAACATTTATGATTTTCTTATTTTTAATCTACACTGAAAAAGAAGGATATTGCTTTAACATTTAGCTGGGCTGTCTAAAAAAAAAAACAACACTGGAAGGGCTGAATATGGGGTTTGGGGTTGCTCTGTAGATCAGCATGGAATTAGTTATGGTATTCCATTAGGGTGCTGTGGATCTCCAGGAACGTGGGTCTTTCTTTGGCATTTCTTTTCCAGCAGCTGAGCATGAGGCTGTACACTGAATCAGGACAGCAGTGCGGCTTCAGCAGATAGACCCGAGGAGCTCAAAAACAGCTCAGCACTGACACCCTTAGTTTTTTCCAACTTATTACATGGATTTTTTTCCTGACTCATCTTGCAGTGCCAACTATTCTTTGGCACAGGGGGAAAAATGCATAAATATCTGTCAGTACAATCATTTGAAAAATCCATTGACATACTGCAGAAATACAGAAAAAAGTCAATTTTAAATAAATAAAAAAAATTAAGAATAATTGTATATTCATATTTAAACACTAAAATTAATAATAAAATACTAAATATATGAAAAAAAAATAAATAAAATACAAATCATTTGAATTGAACATGTTACTATGCACAAATAAAAATATGTAGTACATAAACAAATGAACATTACAATCTAATAAAAAAATTATAATAAAATAAATATATTAAATAATAAACAAAAATAATGAATACAAATAATTTAATGTGTTAATTAAATTAAACTAGTTGTAATGCACAAATAAAAATATTTAGTACATAAACATTATAATATTAATTAACAAATGTTATCCTTTCTAAATGTGGGAAATTACATATTTGTCAAGGATAATAGAAGGAAACTGTTATTAAATAATTAAATATAGTGTTACTGAGATTTTTTTTTATTCTGGAGGTCTCTGGTATTCATAGGTGATTTCCTAGATTCTGTAAAGTTTGAAAAAGTCCCACTGTGCATAAAAATGATTTACACAGATACTGGTAGACTTGATGAAGTGCTATTATGGCTGCATGCTCAAGTCTCACCTGTTTGTTTTGGTCTCTAAAAAACTCGCCGGTGTTTTCGATCACCTGTTCATCTGTGAACTGGGCGCATGGCTGCTCTTTGCACGGGGTCAGAATCTCCCACAGGGTCACCCCGAATGCCCACACGTCGCTGGCCATGGTGAACTTACCCTGTAGAAGCACAGATGCTCAAACTGATAGAGCAGCATGTGAGTTTGTGGTTCCACACATTTGACTCCAGAAAGACTTACCAGTAGGATGCTTTCCCAGGACATCCAGCGGATGGGGAGCACTGCTCGTCCCTGTATGCGGTAGTAATCTCCACGATACAGGTTCCGGCTCATGCCGAAGTCGGCGATCTTGATGGTGTTATTTGTGCCTACTAAACAGTTGCGTGTAGCGAGATCACGGTGAACAAAATTCAGGGAGGACAGGTACTTCATTCCCGAGGAAATCTGAGAGGCCATGTGGATCAGTATTCTGCAGTTGCAGAGGGAAAAAAAAGACATTTACAATATTTTATCCAAAATTTTGGTCTGTTCATCAAACAAAACTACAAACCCAATTCCAAAAAAGTTGGGACACTGTACAAATTGTGAGTAAAAAAGGAATGGAATAATTTACAAATCTCATAAACTTATATTTTATTCACAATAGAATATAGATAACATATCAAATGTTGAAAGTGAGACATTTTGAAATGTCATGCCAAATATTGGCTCATTTTGGATTTCATGAGAGCTACACATTCCAAAAAAGGTGGGACAGCTTTTTTGGAATCGGGTTTGTATCATATGGCTTCAGAAGACACTGAATACAGCACCCAAGTCCAATAAACAAACTCTTGAGCGGATTGTCTGCATTTTTGACTTGTCTATGCAAAAAATCAAGGTTTCCTCTCTTGCTCAGTTTGTGCAAAAACAAATGATACTCCCCATAGAAAAAAAGTGTTGATTTGCAGAACACCTACTGGCTAGTTTTTCTGACTGCAGAAATGATTGTGGGATTTATAAATGTTTCTTTTTTTCCCCCCTTAATAGAAAAGATGACATTAATTTATTATATCATCTTAAAAAAAATTAAATTGTAAAAATAGAAAATAGGGCACCCTATATTGCATTAAAATAAAAAAAAAATTCATATTTATTTTTACTGGGGTTTTACCTGTATTTTGAAATTACTGGATAAGGTCCTGGCAGAATTTTTTTTTTTTTTGTTAATTAAATTATTTATAATGAATACACATTAAGGTCTTTCAAAGAGAATATTTATGTCTTTATTTACAGTAAGTAAATTAAACATTGACTAACAATATTTTTTCCTATTTTTATCTTATGTGAAAATTCTACTTTCATATTATTGCTAACTTTTGTTTATGGTGAAATTAAATTTTATAAAGCCCCAAAAATATTATATTGACCCATATTAAGTAACATTTTGGCTCGAGTCTAAAAGGAAATACAGTATATTTATTATTTTTATAATAAAAAAAATATAGAAAATAATGTCATGTTTATAATAAATCAATTTCAAATAACCTTCTTCGTATGAATGTTTTTGCCTGTGCAAAAATAAATGAGTTAATTTAATGTTTGAATCAAACCATAAATATAATTTAAAAAATATATAAATTTGACTAACAAATTATTATTATTATTTATTGATATACCTGATGGTAGCTGAGTCGCCAGCTTGAGCTCATGGCGGGACAGGAACTGATTGAGGTCTCCGTTCTCCATATACTCCGTGATCATGCACAGCGGATCGCTCTCAACGCACACCGCCAACAGGCGAATGATGTTCGGGTCTCGTAATCGTGAGATGATCCTGATCTCTTTCAAGAAGTCGTTCCTGAAAATGTAGATTTCCTTGAGGAAAATGTAAATTGTCTTAAAATGGCTGGACAGCATCTGTAAAGCAAAAAGCAGTGCACCTGTGTGTTACCTTGCATTTTTGTTTGCGTCCTCTCTTAGAGTCTTAACTCTAAGCTGATGTCGCCAGAATGGTCCTTCATGAACTCCTGCATTCCCTCAGCTTCACACAGATGAACCTGCGGCAGGAACAAACACCTATAACAAATAACTTGTACAAGAATAACTTTTTTGGTCAAGAGAACTGTTCACCGACTTCTCCAAATTGTCCTTCTCCAAGTTTCTCTTTGAAAGTCAGTCTCTCCCTCGGAAACTCCTCCAGAGCTCCATCCCTTCCTGGAGATAAGGGCATGTTGACCACAGTGACACA